ATATCTATCCTCTAATCTTCTTATTTTTGTAGTCTCTTATAAGTAAAGTACCATAGAAAATAAATTAATAAAATGATAAGACTATAGACTAAATTAAACTTGCCACTGATTCTTATATTTTTTGTATGCATTGCACATGGTTATTTATCAAAAGCTTGAATTTTGCTTAAGTAAGAGAATTTATAGAGGGAAAGTTTGTCAACATGATTGGTGTTTAGACAAATAAAAAGTTCTTAAGAGAAAGAATGGTTTATGAATAGTGGAAGAAATAAATAGCTCTTGTCAATGAGAGATGCTTTAATTACATGTGTCTGGATTGGGTAGGCCAATCAGATCCCACAGGATGAGGATGACAGCCAAGAAATGTGCTGGTGACCTCTAAGAAAACATTGTCGTTGAGAAGGACTAGTGGGTCTTCAACTTGCATTTAGGAGTTAGGACTGCACTGCTAATGCAATCTAGTATAAATAGCACTGCTCATTTTGGATTATTTAGTATAACGGTTCTCAAACATTAGGGTGCATGAAAATTACCTTGAGGGCTTGTTTTACACAGACAGATTGCTGGCCCCGTCCCTAGAGTTTGTGATTCAGTAAGTCTGGGGTGGAGTTGGAGAAGTTGCCTCTCTACCAAGTTCCCAGGTGATGCTGGGAACCACACCTTAAGGCCAGGGACCACACTTTAAGAACCACATCCAGTTAATAGAAAGACATTGACTTAAAAATTCACTTTTCTCCTACCTGTAAAACTGTAGACCGACTTCATATTTTACCGGGATAGAAATATTTACTTCATTATCAGAAAGGGTTTCAGGAGGTTCTTCGCTGTCACTAGAAGATGCATAGCACATTCAGACAAATCATTAAACCATTGACTACTTAGGGACATTCCTAAACATTTGACAGAGAAGCTTATCTTGACAACCAAATATTAATAAAAGCACAAAAGAGTAGAATTTTTGATTATTTTTTGATTGGGGTGAGGAGGGAGGTCAGAGATGAGTACTGTTAAAAGTTCCCACATTGATTCTCATGGGCAGCTAGAGCTGCAAACCACACTGATTTATGTTTCTCAAAAGTCTGTGACTGATAAGAATCCTAGGTTTAATC